AGGGCCTCTCTCTTTGCAACTTTTACCAAGCTCATTGTTATTCATTCGAAGACAATCAGGCATTCAACAAAGAGATAAGGTGGGGGGAGAAAACACTGTTCTCTTTAAAAGGCAAGAGCAAGTTAACCCTTTATAAATAAGATAGAGTGCACTGTTAAATGTATGTTTATACATCATGTGAAATATATATATATATATATAGTATAAAATTGTGTATTAAAATAATGCCCTTCAACACTTTCACATAACACACACATTAAAAAGCGTGGGCATTCTTATTTCTCTGGCCCTGAATATTTCTCAGCAAGAAGCTTTTCACAGTAAGGCTGAAATGTAATGCACCGTGGTTTAATCCTAGTTTAATGAACAAACCATGGCTGGCTAGATAATGAAAACACACTTAACCATAAACAATGGATTTCAAACTGCTCTGACTGAGTTAACGCAACACACTTGGCCTACACACCAAACAAACTGAATTTTGTCCTACAGGCTGAATTAGCTACTGCATTAGTTAATTAGCAGTTATTTGCTGTTTTTTGGGTTTGCCAATAGCTTGCTTGTTTGCACAACATGATAAGTAACAAAGTTAAAAAGAAGGAGGCCAAGCGCTTTGTGTGAATGTACCTGCTGGGTCTTTAACTGTCCTGATTAAGCACTTTATATGATCCCAGCAAACAGGACTCCTCCACGTAAAATGTCATGCAGTTTGGGCTCATGAAGGATATTCAGGATCCTCTTCCTTTGCTTTCCCCAATTTGATGACCCTCAGGTGTGTTAGACTACAACTCCCATCATAGTGATTGACTATCTCAGAGGGTTGTGGGGAAAAGCTGCCCTGTTGAGTCTTTACGGCTGTGTTTCTCAACCTGGTAACCTTACGACCTGTGGACTTCACCTCCCAGAATTCACCAGCCAGTGTTGCTGGCTGGGGAATTCTGGGAGTTGAAGTCCACAGGTCGTAAAGCTGCCAAGGTTGAGAAACACTTCTATGGGCTGCTGAGGAGATGACTCCGGAGCATCTAGGAGAGGGCACCCTGCCCTCTTTATGGCAGCCATCTAGAAGGACAAAGGAAAAAGTTCAGCATGGGAGGCTGGGTCTTTGTCCAATCATTGCCCAAAGGTTTATCTCCTGATCTTTGGACCGGTCCTTCTGTTTAGCGGTGGCGGCAGCTTTTCTCTTCCTCTGCCAAGAAGCCTGGAGCCTCTGCTCTCCTCCGGCTCTGGAGCCAACCCTTGGCCTGTGCTGACCCTTCTGGGGGAAAGTGGCCCCACCTGCAACCGCCGAGGCTGAGCTACTAAAGCAGGCAGGAGGGAAGGCACTGCTGGCCAGCAGCCTCCATGGACAGGTAGGGGCTGGGGGGCAGCGTTTTTCCCTGTCAAGTGACTCCAGTCATGGGAGGGCTGGCTTTGTCTGGAACTGCTGTGGGACTGGGGTTTTGTGAGAGGGTTGTGGCAGGCGGGGGTCTTGGCTTTGCAGGCTGGCTGGGGAATTCTGGGAGATGAAGTCCACACCTAAAGTTACTTAAACTTAACTTTAACTTAGCTTAACGTTAACTTAAAGTTGCCAAGCTTGAAAAACACTCTTCTAGATTATATCTCTTTTCAACCCACCTCCCATCACCCCGAGACACTGAGGTTTTGGAGGGGATGCGTAGCTTTTCCTAAATTTCCAATCCCCATTAGCTTGGTTCATCATCCTTGCATGGGACTTCTTAAGCATAAAACCCACTTTTGCTGCATTGTGACCCACACGGCTGATCCACAGCAGGTTCTCCAACCTGTTGCCCTCCAAATGATGGGGGGGGCTCCAAACAGCCTTCCCCTGCAGGGCAAAGCTTTATGGAAAGGGGGCTCCCCCAGCAGCTGAGTGCTGGTGTCTCCGCCTTAGCTTTTCTCTCTCAAATCAGCCAATGATGGTTAATTCAGTAAACCAGGTCAAATACATCATGGCTTATTGCAACATGAACCCCAGTCCTGGGTTTCATTTTATACTGTAAAGAATAAATGGGATTTTACAACAGTTAATAGCACGCCCAAAATGACTGGAGATTCCTTTAGTTCTTTTACTAATATTTAGTTTCTGTTTTTAAATTTCCATTTAGGTTCTTAAACTCTGTGTATGCAAATACCTCTTTGGTAGAGTTTCACATTTAATGTTTCCTTTGGGTTACGCTATGCTCAAACATATGCTGAAACAAAGCATTATTTTTTTTTTACTTGGTCCGGGGGTTGCTCCGGAAAATAGTTTCAGGTGGTTTCATTGTTTTTTTTAAATTTCCAGTGCCTTGTTGGTGGACTAACACAGACTTTAAAAAAAAAAACTGGATATGGTTGAGATGATAAATGAAGGATAGGATGGGTGTGATGCAGTGTTTCTCAACCTTGGCAACTTGAAGATGTGTGGACT